TCACCGGGAACGGCCCTTCATATCTCCGTACCAAGCCTTTGTGTACACTTCGGTACGCCTTGAATTGTTGAGGTAATATTTTCACAAGGACTTGATCGCCAACTTTAAATTCCAAAGGCCGTCTCTTCTTATCGGCCCACTTCTTCATGCGCCTCTGGGCTTTGTTTAAACAAGATCGTGCTAAGTCGGCATGCTCTTCCCATGACTTAGCCATTTTGTATGCTCCGGGGTTTTTCCCTCCTTCAATAGAAGTGGACAAAGTGTAGGGTGTTAGTGGTTGTTGTCCTGTCACCAACTCGAATGGGCTCCGCCCCGTGGCTTCACTCCTTTGTAAATTGTAGGAAAATTGTGCAATATCCAGGAGCTTGGCCCAATCTCTTTGATTGGCACTTACAAAGTGCCGGAGATAGCACTCCAACAAAGCATTCACCCTTTCTGTTTGTCCATCCGTCTGAGGGTGAAAGCTTGTAGAGAAGTGTAGGTCCGAGCCTAGGAGTTTGAACAACTCCGTCCATAGCCGACCCGTGAATTGGGGATCACGATCACTTATTATGCTCCGCGGTAACCCCCAATACTTCACAACATTCTTGAAGAATAGCCTTGCGGCTTCCTCCGCTGTGCAATCCTTGGTGACAGGAATGAAGGTGCCATACTTGGAGAATCGATCAACCACCACCATTATTGACCCGAACCCTTCGAATTTAGGCAGGGCACTAATGAAGTCCATGGTGATAGAGTCCCATGGACGCTCCGGGACTGGTAGAGGCTCCAACAAACCCGCTGGTGACCTTGTTTCCACCTTGTCTTGTTGGCACACAAGACAAGTCTTTACATAGAGCTCCACCATGTCTTTCATTTGCGGCCAATAGTAAGCTCGTTCAAGTAGTGCCAATGTGTGTTTCTGCCTTGGATGACCAGCCCACTTTGTGTCATGACACTCCTTGATGATATCTCGCCGCAAATTGTTCCACTTAGGAACATAGATACGCTACCCCGTAGTGTAGAGTAAGCCGTCCTCGACCCAAAATCGTCACGTCTTTCCTACTTTCGAAATGCCGGATCCCACAACATCTTTTTCCGCCATGCCAACGATAGTAAGTGAGCAAACCTAGGCTCTGATACCAACTGTCACGGACTTGCTAATTTCCTTCAAGAACCGTGCGGCCTTAGTGTCTTCAACTTCCGCCCCCGCGGTTATTACACTAAGTCAGCCTCCCGATTGGCGTTGATGTTTTAGAAAGGCACTAAGTAGAACACTTTAAGAAAGGGACAATGAAGAAACACAAGAGCTTACAAAGAAGGCTTTGTATTGAATAAAAAATACTCTTTACAATTTCACTCTCTTGATCCTTCAAATGAATCCTACCAAGCTATTTATAGTGGTAGCCTCCTCAAATGGATGGCTAGGATCTTTTCTATCCAACGGTCTAGATTACACATCTAGAATTATCTATACAAATATCTACATTAAAATATCTATGGACTAAACTAGGATGATCTAGAATAATCTACCAAGTGAGGGGCTTGTAGGCTTCTAGAATGTCCCACCATATTCTAGCAATCTTCATGCACTTGTGGGAGTCTAGAATATTCCGGTTAGCCCCAACTCGTCAACATTTTAAATTTCTCGATCTTCTTGTGCCAAGATCGAGCGGGTCGTGACACTACGGTGGCATCAACCATTTCTTTTTATCTTTAATCGTGAAGCTACACTGAGTAGCGATTTTTGGCAGTTTTGTCAAGCTTCCTGGCATCGTCCTGCATTACAACAGCCGGTCAGCTACTGAAGCCCAGGGTAAGGTATTGTTTGGATTAAGCTAAATTAAATAGGTGATAATGAACACATTTTAGTGCTTACATGCAGTAGGAGCTTTCTTGACTAAAAAACAGTTTTTGGATATGAATTAATATGCTGATAAACATGAAGATATATCCTTATAAGCTATAAATAAAATAAATTACCAAAAGATATTAAATATGAGTAAATATCATTTTTAATGTTGAAGAATAATTCATATTTGAATTTCTACATACATATGAGATTCAAAATTACATATTCTATTTGGCACAACCACTTTTAAAAGAAAATCATGAATGCTTGCCTCCAATTTCATTCACCATACTATTATTCAATCACTTAAACTGTACTCACACTTAACATACCAGTTCACAAGCACCATGTATTTCAGCTCTCTATAAGTAAACTGGTGATAATTAAAAGGAATGTCCAAGAAATGACTATTTTTTCCCCTTTTCCCTTTCCTCCTCATACGTGCACACAGAGAAATTTTATTGACAGTAGAGAAAGATGGGAGGACAGGCTGGGGATGGTGGAGGAAGATGCGGAGTGAGGGATTGACGGGCTGGGTTGGGTTGGGTTAGGACTTAGGAAGGGAAGGGGTAACCCATGCAATTTTCACAACACTTCAAATGCGCTTCATCAGCTTGTAATCTATTCCTCCGTTTGGAAAGAATTTATAAACAGTTTAATTTATAAATAGATAGGAATGAGTGGTGAATAAATGGATACTTGTGGACCATTGGAATGTGGTTGAAGATGAAGTTCAACCGCTTTATAAATGATTTATAGATTCATCAAACAAAGCAAAAAAATCAGGCCATGTGAAAAAAGGGGAATCCTTACATGAAATATGAACCCCAATTGTGTCATTATAATCTAGAAACTCCTTCCATTGTCTTTCAATGATCAGCTGCAAAAAATAAAAATAAAAAATCGTAAAAAAGCCTCCTAAGACAGGAAGTAGAGATAGAGGCATAAGAAAGCAAAGTTTGCGGAGATACCCAAAAAAGCAAGAGTAAAATCAATTCCTTAAATACTTGTTTTAGTCGGTAATCCATTCAGATTCATGCTCTGGTAGATTAGTCAGTAGTCACTACTCAGCCGCCAATGTCAAAGGCCGAAGGATGCAGTCAAAATCAGAACAACCGTTTCACACTGGTAGGCATTGGTTTTTAATAACGAATGCCTTCCAGAATTTTTCTTCGCAAGAAAGTCAATAAAGTTCAAGAGATCGTCACAAAGAACTGAGATGTTTTTCTAGTGCAAGAACATTTAGGCTGTTAGGAAATTAGACCGTTACTAATTCCGCCAGGATCAGTGGGACACAAAATAATTTGAACTGAGAAGAAATAAATGTAGCAAAAAATAATAAGTGCAAATGACACAAGAATTTATGTGGTTCGGCAATCGTGCCTACGTCCACAAACCCACACCAATTCTTTTACTATATCAACAAGAGAAGAAAATGGATATAACAAATATACTCTCTGTATTTTATTTGCCTATACAAAGACAATCTCTCAATTTTTCTCTCGTTAATTTTCTGCACAAACTGAAGCCTAACTGCTTCTCACTTTTGTGCTTTGCTCACTCTCGTGTTTTCACTCAACACTTTTCTTGCACTTCTCTTTTCACTCATATCTTTTGCTTCTGCTTTGACCTCGTATTTATAGTAAAATTCTCACCTTCCTCATTAAATGCATGTCCATCAATTTTTCAACAAAGTTGCCTTGCATTAAATGCATGGCAAAAATTTCTTCCAAAAATACGGCTGTTGTTAGCAAGAGTTTCCATGCACATTCCTTTTTTTTCAACATTTGCTACAACTTTTGAAAAATGTGTCTGACACACATGAAAGAAATTGTGAAGCCTAAAATGTAGGCTCCAAAATTTCAACAATCTCCCACTTGGAGACTAATGTGGCTTCACCTTGAGACATCCTGCGAGCAGTTCCTTTTTAGTAAAATTGGTGTGGATCACCTTCCTCGTCTTCATTTTAGAAGGCCAACTGAAGCTGAACACAACTCCAGTTTTTCCGTAGTTACCGTCTTGGTTAACATGTCAGCTGGGTTTCTACTGCCCTGGATCTTTTCCAGTGTTAATACTCCATCCTCTAAGAGAAATCTGATGAAGTGATATGAAATGCTACATTCTTTGCCAGATGTATAGCACTCTGACTGTCACTGTACAAAACATTCTTTTCTTGCTTGAGACCAAATTCTGTCAACAGACCTTGTAACCAAATCATTTCTTTGCTAGCTTCGGTTACTGCCACGTACTCTGCTTATGTAGTGGATAAAGCAAAAATTTTTTGTTTTTGCGAAACCCAACTCACTGCAGTAGTACCAACTGTGAATACATAACCGGTGGTGCTTTTCCTGTGATCGACCTCGCCAGCAAAATCTGCATCTACAAAACCTTGTAGTGCCAACTCACCTCTTTTAAAACACAAACATTTATCAATAGTACCCTGTAGATATCTCAATATCCACTTCACTGCTTCCCAATGCTGTTTTCCTGGATTCGTCATGAATCTGCTCACAACTCCCACTGCATGAGCAATATCTGGTCTTGTACAGACCATGGCATACATTAAACTTCCAATGATTGAGGCGTATGGAATATTAGCCATGAAGTTTCTTTGTCTTCTGTTTTCGGAGATTGGTCGTTTGATAGACGGAAGTGATTAGCCAATGGCGTGCTAACTGCCTTTGCATTGTTCATGTTGAACCTCTGCAAAACTTGACTAATGTACTTGGCTTGGGATAACTTCAAAGTGCTTTTTTGCTTGTCCCTACAAATTCTCATCCCTAGAATTTGTTTAGCTGGACCCAAGTCCTTCATTTCGAATTCTGCTGACAGTTGCTTCTTTAATTTTTGGATTTCGTTCATGTCTGGTCCCGCTATTAACATGTCATCAACATAAAGTAGCAAAATAATGTAGCTGGACTCCAACCTTTTAAAATAGCAACAACGGTCAGCATTGCACTTGTAGTAGCCATTTTTCTGCATAAATCCGTCAAACTTCTTGTACCACTGTATCGGAGCTTGTTTTAAGCCATACAAACTTTTCTTCAATTTGCACACGAGCTTCTTTTTTTCTTTGATTGAGAAACCCTCTGGTTGCTGCATTTATATCTCCTCCTCTAAGTCACCATGGAGAAAGGCAGTTTTCACATCTAACTGCTCTAAGTGCAACCCCTCTGCTGCAACAATACTTAATACTAATCGAATTGTTATCAGCTTTACTACTGGAGAATAAATCTCTGTGTAGTCAATTCCTTCTTTCTGTTGAAAACCTTTGACCACCAATCTCGCCTTGTATCGCTTTGATCCGTCATGTTCCTCCTTAACTCGATAGACCCATTTATTTTGTATGGCTTTCTTTTCTGCAGGCAACTCAACTAGCTCCCATGTTTGATTAGAGATAAGAGACGTTATCTCATCTTTCATTGCAAGCTCCCACTTAATTGCATCATCTCCCCGACATGCCTCATCATAGCATTTAGGTTCACCGGCATCAGTAAGTAACAAATAATTTATGTACTTTCTATTTGGAACATGTGGTCGGGAAGATCTTCTAGGAATAGGGGTTGGAGTTAAAGTCTCCGCAACAGCTTCCTCTGGCTGAAGACTTCCATCTGTCTGCTTTGACATACTACTACTTGGAGTATCATCCAACTCAACATATGTTGGATTATCATGTATGTCACTTGACTACGCTGTATCTCTGTCCTTGTACATCACCCTTTCATTGAATATGACATCCCGACTTCTGATGACCTTTTTGTTCTTATCATCCTAAAAGCGATACCCGAACTCATCTCCACGATATCCAATGAAGGTACACTTTAGTGATTTGGGGTCAAGCTTACCCCTAGTTTGATCACTAATATGTACATATGCGACACAACCAAAAACTTTCAAATGAGAAAGTTTTATTTCTTTTCCGCTCCATACTTCCTCTGGTATCCTATACTCCAAAGGCACTGATGGCCCGCGATTGATTAAGTATGCTGCTGTGTTGATAGCTTCAACCCAAAATTGTTTAGGCAAGCCAGTATGTAACCGCATGCTTCTGGCTCTCTCTGTCAACGTCCGGTTCATTCGTTTGGCCACACCATTTTGTTGCGGTGTTCCTAGCAACGTCCTTTCCAGTTTGATACCATTCTGGTAACAAAACATTTTGAAATCAGTATGTTCGTATTCACTGCCATTATCTGATCTCAATTTCTTTACTGGCAAACTTGTTTCATTCTCCACCATAGCTTTCCACTTCTTGAACATCTCGAACACTTCGGATTTGTGTCTCAAGAAGTAGACCCATACTTTTCAGGAGTGATCATCGATGAAAGTCACAAAATAAGACTTTCCGCCAATAGACGGAACTACAACTGGTCCCCAGACATCTATGCGGACTAACTTTAGCTTTTCCTACTTCGAAGTTCTGCCACACTTGTTGAAACTCACTCGCCTCTGCTTCCCGAAAATGCAACTCTCACATAGGTCTGCATTAATAGATTGAAGTCCTGGTAGTTTCCCTTTGTCATGCATGTACTTGAGTCCATTCTGACTCATATGGCCCAATCTCTGGTGCCATAGATTCGGATCTTCATTCGAATCAGCAACTGCAATTATTCTGCAAGCACTCGTCGTGGTGTAAAGAGTACCACTTTTCTTGCCTCGTGCTATGGTCATTGCACCCCTGGAAACCTTCCAAATATCACCGTTGAAGGTTGTGACATAACCCTCATTTGATAGTTGGCCCACAGATATCAAGTTCTTCCTCAAGTCTGGAATATGTCTGACATCCTTCAATTTCCATACAGATCCATTAAGTTTGATTTGTACTTCACCTCTGCCGATTACGTCACAAGGTTGATCATCACCAAGATACACTTTTCCAAGATTACCCAGCTCATAACTCGTAAAGAGTTCTTTGTTTGATGTAGCGTGAAAAGATGCTCCAGAATTTATTACCCAGTATTCTGCTTTGCTGTCCAAAGAGCATATCAAAGCATCATCTGATTCTTCTGCTACAACATTGGCCTCGGTCTTGTTTTCATTTTCTTTCTTGGAAACTTGACACTGATTTTTGTAGTGTCCGATCTTGCCACAATTCCAACATTCAACAACTTTTGATTTGTTGGAATTCTTTGGATTTCTGGATTTTGATCTACCAAACCTTGACTTGCTCCTGTAATGCCCTTTACCTCTGTTCGAACTTCTGCCTCTGCTCTCCACGTTCAAAGCTGCTCCAGAAGTGAAAACACCTTCCGACTGTCTTCGTATTTCCTTGATTAGGATTATGCTCACGACATCTTCAAATTTCAATTTGGAATTTCCGACAGAGCTACTAATTGCTGTAACTGTGCCATTCCAACTCTCAAGCAGCTGCCCGAGAATCAATAAAGCTCGAACCTCATCACTGAATGTGATTTCGACTGTGTTTAACTGGTCCGTCACTTCATTGAACACATTTAAATGTTCTCCAGATCTTTCGCCTTCCGCCATTTTCATAGTAAATAGCTTTTTGATTAAATGGACTTTGTTTGCTGCAGATGGTTGTTCATACATGCTAGACAGGGCCGCCATGAGAGATGCCGTCGTCTTCTCATTTTTTATGTTGAAAGCGACTGATTTTGATAATGGCAGCCTTATTGCGCCGAGGGCCTTTCGATCAAGTAATTCCCACTCCTCGTCGATCATGTCCTCCGGCTTTACGTGAAGTGGTTTATACAGGTCCTTCTGGTACAAATAGTCCTCCATTTGCATCTTCCAAAATCCAAAGTTTGTGCTATCAAACTTATCGATTTTGGATATCTTCTCGTCTGTTGTCATTCCTCCCACTTAAATTCTGGAGCTCTGATACCAGTTGTTAGGAAATTAGACCGTTACTAATTCCGCCAGGATCAATGGGACACAAAATAATTTGAACTGAGAAGAAATAAATGTAGCAAAAAATAATAAGTGCAAGTGACACAAGAATTTACGTGGTTCAGCAATCGTGCCTACGTCCACAAACCCACACCAATTCTTTTACTATATCAACAAGAGAAGAAAATGAATACAACAAATATACTTTCTGTATTTTATTTGTCTATGTAAAGACAATCTCTCAATTTTTCTCTCGTTAATTTTCTGCACAATAAATTTTTCTCTCGTTAATTTCTGCACAAACTGAAGCCTAACTGCTTCTCACTTTTGTGCTTTGCTCACTCAACACTTTTCTTGCACTTCTCTTTTCACTCATATCTTTTGCTCCTGCTTTGGCCTCGTATTCATAGTAAAATTCTCACCTTCCTCATTAAATGCATGTCCATCAATTTTTCAACAAAGTTGCCTTGCATTAAATGCATGGCAAAAATTTCTTCCAAAAATACGGCTGTTGTTAGCAAGAGTTTCCATGCACATTCCTTTTTTTTCAACATTTGCTGCAACTTTTGAAAAATGTGTCTGACACACATGAAAGAAATTGTGAAGGCTAAAATGTAGGCTCCAAATAGATAGTACTAAACAATTTAGAGAACGTAAATAAGCTAAATATTGTTCACTATAGTGCCCAATTCCACATAATACTATGCAACAAACATGCTCAATTCAGCAACCTTTCTAAAACGGG